CACAATGTTCACTTCTTCCATTTTTCTGTTTAATAAGTCAGATCTAGTTGGAAAGATCACTCATCGCCTCTTTTTCGTACCTTCGATTCTTTATTTTCCGGAACAATGTGGCGATATCCTCTGATTAGAAAAAAGAAAGCCAATACTCGAGCCTACTCGCTCCTTTAACAGTATACAGCAAGACAGATCGATCGTCCCTTCGTTGACGTTAAAACGTTGTCCTGCGAAGCTGGACACTACTGGACCGTTACCAAAGTCGAGTGATTAATAAGCTTCACGGCGAAATGGAGCTTTGCTCTGTAAGAAGAGATCGATGGAGAATTCAGCGTCTCAGCGATATTGATTCTATCTCTTTTGAGAGTTTTTTGTTGTTGTAAAGGATCCTTAGGAAATATTACATGAATGTTTCAATATGATCAGAAAGTAGAGTTCAACCAAGTTGTAGACTTTTTTTCAATTATCATTATTACACTTTCTTTTACACTAACTATGTACAAAAAGATTTGAAGATAATGTTAAATAACTAGGTTATGTTTGACAAAGTGGTTTTATATCTGTTCAGATTATCTGAAAGAATTGAGCGCTTTGTTGTATTTAATCCACCCAAAGTACCCAAGTGTATCTTTAAGTTGCCTTATTACATTCAACGAAAGAGGAATGAGATATAAGGTTGTGTCGTGGCATTGTCAAACATAACCTATGCTATTTAATTTGAACGAGGAACGAGTTTGCAGCTACTCTCATTTGACCATATTATGACAACTCATGATAAGCATATATACAAAGTGTGATAATACATCAAACTCGACAAAAGAATGGCAATGATTGTCTAAAAAGTTGTACGTAACATGAAGTCTTTAATACTTTGAAATGTGACATTTGGTCAATCTGATGGTCTCTCAGTCAAAAGTAAGAAAATGTATCTGACAACTGAGAATTTATTTAAACCAACCTTATAAATGCAGTACATCAGCGATTCTCTGTGAGAAGTCACTATTTAGCAATTACCAGGAATTAGCCTACGCTTTTTACCTTCAAAATCTCTAGCTCCTTTACTCTCGAAAATGCTCTTCAGAGAGGAAATCTCTCTCTCTTTTATCCACGAGTTTTAGGGTGGGGTATATATGCGCTTCGTCGTTTCCCGGATTCCGCGCACGCTTTAGCAAGTCCATTATAGAGATTGTGGCGTCTGCTTTTCCGAACCTTAATAATAATAGTAATAACAATAATAACAGTAGTAGTGACGCTGGGAGGACTGTCTGGTGCTTCCACCATACAATTGCAACTACCACCACTACTACTACGTGGGAACGATTTTCAAGGAGAGAGCACGAGAAAAAGGGGTGAGAATCGTTCATGCGCGAATCTCTATACTACGTGTGCACGCGTGTACAGGTATATACATGAGAGGGATATTGTCTTTGGTCTCGCGTGTCTAGCTTTTTCGTTGTCCGTACTTACGTTTGCTCGTTCGTTCGTTCATTTGTTCCTTTTTCGTATTGTTTTGTAGGTAGACAAAACGAGAGAGAGCGAAATTCCGTACTGTGGTTTTGACTGCGCGATGCCTTTGGCGCGCTTTTAGAAGATTGTTTTAAAGGCGAGGATTCACGTGTACGGGAATTTCTCTTTTGCGATGTATGCTTATTTATGGGAGGATGGATTGTTTAGTACGTCTTATTGAGTTTTTTGATTTTTTAAAGTAGTACGTATAATCAATGGTCATCCAAAAGATAATTAAGGTTACCGTATAACTGAGTTTTCTTAAAAGTAATCCTATGCAGGTAAGGTTTCTTTTATGTGTCCATCATGTTCCACGTCTAGGTTTCTATCGTAGGTACCAGGTTCTGTGCGCCTTAAATATCATCTGGTGTTAACTGTAATAGTATGCCGTTTCTCTCAATTTTTTTTTCTACAAAGCTGTGTCAATAGAAAAAACAGAGAAAGGGTTCACATGTTTATCTCTACCTGAGGATATTTTAAAAAACTTTTTTTTAGGTGAACTTTATTCTATGTAAGAACTTAGATTCACATTGGCATATTTACTGAAAATCAAATTTTTACCTGCTTAAATTACTCAATGTATCGATATTGATAATTTCTATGGTCTGATACAAGTGGCAATGGAAATGGATTCGGTTTTTCCGTCATATATAGAAGCAATAACTATCATACAAACAAGTGGCAAACATGACACATTTTAACGTGATGAAATGAAACCGGTATATAAATTTAAAAGCGTAATTTTGACGCCTCATTTTTCTAAGTGCACTTCGGGCGATAAATTATCCCACAAAAATGATATGAACCCCCGAAAGCGCGATAATACGTCTCTATAAAAAGCATAAAAAATCACCATGCCCCAACCCTCGTATAATAAAACTATCAGGCGTCCTCGTCGGGCATAATATCGCACTTTCTCTCCTCTAATCTCGAGTCTCGCGCTCTGCACGCACGCACAGTTTTGCGTTGCTTATCATACGTTCAACTCCGTTGCCGCTGTTATTACTACTACATCACGGGACAAAGATGGAGATAAAGGCCCACAGTCGTTTCGACCCTCGATTTGCTACCCTAATGGTTTCTTTCCACCGTTTCACTTTTGTTTTTTGGTTTGTTCCTAAATACATTGTGCGCTTTGTCATATGGGCTATTAAGCTTTGTTGGCACAAAGTTTTTTGTTCATTGAATGTAATCGTACGATTTTCATTAATACAATCTATTAGAGCATCGAACAAAATTACACTTTAACGATGAAAGAACTCATATGCTAAATAGGTACATAAGTGTGTAGTGTTAAGATTAGCCAAAAAAAATGTCTGGGTTGTTTTGGGGTAAAAATATTGTAATAATTATGAAACGAACATACTGTGTTCAACCTGGTTGTACATGAGCGGAAAAAGTTGCGCTCCAGAAATTCCGCAACATGCTCCCACTCCCTCGTAAAAAAGAAAAAAAAGGAAAAATTCCCTTGTACGTTTATTCTCAAGAAGCGCGTGAAAAAGTACTACAACCTCCTCGAGTCAAACTCCCTGCCGTTTCTCTTCTCTTCCTTTTTTCTCCGTCCCCTTAGGATGTTCAGATGAGGGTGCGAGAAAAAAAAAAGAGAGAAAAAAAAGGAGGTGCACGCCAGCGGCAACGGAAATTAGAATAGCGTCGCACCGAGGGAAGAGGACTGAAGCTAATGTCGCCAAGGCTGCGGTTTATACGTATATACGTATATAAGAAAGCAAGACAAATTTCGCGTAATTTAAGGCTACGGGCAAAGAAAGACGACGACTTTTTCTCACCCTCGCTCTCTTTGCGCGTAGGCAGAAATAATGCCCAGCCGAACCTCATTATTGGCTCATGGCTGTTTCTTCTTCTTCTTCTCCTCGTTCATTTTTTCTTCTCCCACGCCTCCTTTTTTCGTATGTTCATCTTGTCTTTATGATTTGCATTTATGAGCTCGAGCGGTGCTAAATTTTTGTAATTCTTGGGAAAGATTTTTTCCATAAATTTGGGTATATTAGTGGTTACAGCGCTGTGATTTGCACATTTATTTTACTATAGGGAGTCTGCCGAGTAGAAGACTTTTTTCGTTCAATTAACATGGAATAATTTTCATACAACCACGTGTGTTAAGAACATGATATTTGGTTTTAAATGATACTATTTTCATGATTTCGGGTCCGACTTAAACATCTTTTTTGATTAGAATATGGGATTTCCAAACTTAACTTGTTTATTTAATAGTATGATAAATAAATTGTAGATGTCAGTAGTAAAATATAATATGTGCATTTGAAGACTGTGGAATTATTACCGTCATTAGATAATGTTTATTATTAATGACGAATGAAATACAACTCTTATTTATGATTACACATTAAATAATTGACAATGTATTTCAATGATTTGATTTTTAGTTGAAAAATTTTCCAATCGGTTTCAGAATAGTATGACTCAAAAAAGAACTGTACATTCAAACTAAAGGTTAACACACAACTGTTGTCAATAAAGCCAAGTACAAGGATATGCAGGCTATGGCTAATAGAAAAATTATTTCGTGAAACCAATCAAAATTGCATTTCCCACAAGTATTTGCTAATAAATGGTAAAAATTTGCTACAGTGAATTGATGACTTTCCTACAAAATCATCGAAATTATCAGTGAAAGGGAAATGAGAATATCAACATTACACTTAAGTTTCTAATGACTTACTTTTAGACATTAAAACATAGACAAAACTTTTTCTTCATACATGTATCTTATTTCATCAGATTTGAATAAAATGAAATAATGAATATTACATTATTCCAATGAGTATCCAAATAGTTTCAAAATTAATTAAAAAGCCAGATCAGAAGTATTGATAAAAGTCGGGATGAAAAATCAAATTTTATTCTTCTACGTAATTAGCTAGTGGGTGAATTGATTGTTTGTCTTTTCAATTGAAGATATCAACGTTGACGCAAATCCTAATAATATTCACTGCATCTTCCTTGACACAAATTTCGCTTAGGCAAATGTCGCGAAGAAAGCTCAAAACATGAAATGTAAACTTATCATTGCGTCTTTTCCTAGTAATTAGGTGTAAAAAGGCAGCTCTTATCATTTTCGAAGGTTAACCATTTTTATGTCCGACAAATCTTATTGCTCCATAAAAAGTCATACATCAAGTTGAGCCATCGTTTTTCCTTTGGATTCCTTGTTCCGATAGACACTATACGAATAAGACTAGACACACTATAATTTTATTATACGTCGAAGAACACTGCAAGCAACGATGCACCAACAAAAACTAAGCGGAACGTATCGCACGAGACAAGATATTTGCCTAACCTTGGCACTATTTTTGTCGATCTTACGTTGATCACAAAGGTCCTTGAAAATAAGTCATTGATTCATGCTCATCTCCTATAATCACTGACATCTACCTCATCAAACACATGATTTTCCACTCCAGACAAAACAGTATATAAAAGCTCCAAATTTTGATTTGTGTATCACTGCCGACAAAATGAGTCTCAAACTAACAATCGTCGCCTGTCTCTTGACACTCGCTCATACTCGTAAGTAAAAGCTCTTCTGGACTAAAATTTCTCAATTTTCTCTTGTGGAATACCCAAACCAACCCAATATTCCAACTTTTCAAACAAAATAACGTATTTTTTATGTACCACGTTTCCCAACAGGTTCGTTATCCCCCCGAATCATCGGCAGCCACAACGCAATACCAGGCGAGTTCCCATACCAAGTGAGCCTGCAATGGGGCTGGCTGCCCTTCTTACCGCATAGCCACTTTTGCGGCGGTAGCATCATCAATTCTACCTGGGTTGTGACGGCTGCCCACTGCGTCAGCGCCATGAAAGAATTTCCCAAAACAGTGACTTTCCTCGTCAAAGCTGGGAAACACGATATCGACAAGCTCGAGCTGTCAGAGCAAATATCTTCCATCTCCAAGTCTTTCATCCACGACAGATACAACGATTCCGCGTAAGAGTTTTTTTTTCCTTTCAATTGTCTCACCATCCTTGTATTACCATACATTAAAGTACCTAGAATAGTATATAACCTCTACTTGAAACCCTCATTATTAACGCGACAATTTCACAGGGGCGTATCGCCGTATGACATCGCTCTGATCAAGCTCAAGATACCTCTGGTCTTCAACAAGCGAGTGGCTCCAGTAGCACTGCCTGAGAAGGACAGTGATCCAGAGGGTATCGTGACCCTTTCCGGCTGGGGTGCGGTGAACAACAACACTAGGGATCCAAATTATCCATCGATTCTCCAAACGGCGGACATGCCGATCATCGATCGTAAGACGTGCAACAACGCCATCGAGATGCTTGGACGGGAGGCGAACCAGACTCTTAAGGACATGGTTGATGAGACAAACATCTGTACCGGCCCGCTTTCTGGTGGTACTGCAGCTTGCAGTGTAAGTGAAATGTTACCCTTTTTTTTTTTTCACGGAATTTGAGAGTGAAGATCCGGTTTTTTTTTCGTAGGGCGATTCTGGTGGACCTTTGACGTTAAGGAAAAATGGCGGGAATTCATCAGAACTAGTTGGGATCGTTTCGTGGGGAATTATACCCTGTGGCCGGGTAGGAGGACCAAGTGTTTATGTACGCGTGTCTTCGTTCAGGGACTGGATCGCGGATAAAATTTCGAAAAATTGATTTTATGTTGTACATTGTTACGTTGGAATTATGTACTGAGTATTTAAAATAAAAATTGTTGGATCTCGTTGAAAAATGTGTTTTATTTTAAAATTATTTTAAAAATGAAACTTATTTAATCACATAGATTTCGTTATGAAATTAGATTGTCAAGTAATACAGATGCTTAATTTTTGGACCCAATAATTTTACACTAGCTGATTTTCTACAGTAAAAAAATCAAAGAATAACTTTAAATTATCAGAACTAAACAGACAACTCATAATGGTTTAAAACTCATGATGATTTGCGTATGTTTATTAACAAAAAATTGTTTGACTCAAATAACGCAATGACGCAATTGGCAATGTTGGATAAATAAGTGAAACTAAATGTTTTTATAAAATAATATCATCGAGATTCACAACAATGGCTGCTCTCTTCCTGTGTATTTATAATTGTGTTCCGCATGACTCAGCGGTATCAAGATTAAAAAATGTCAACTCTTCATCCGTAGGAATGACGTCTTCCACTAGAATTTTATATTTATCAATTGGGCAGTACTTTTCACAGTTGCTTATTTCCAGCTCCACAAATTGGTCACTTGATCCGTTCCAACTCAACATCTACAATGGTAAGAAAAAAATTGTATACAAATACGAAAATAAAACAAATAAGTCGATCACTTACTCTAATATAATATTTATGTTTCATATCTTTGTAACTTTCCACGATGTAAGCACTACCAAATGGTGGTAATTTAAACGCACCAACGACGTCCTGGGCGTTCATAAAAGACGTCAAAGTTGTATCGTGTGTGCTGTACAAATAAATTTTTTTCATCCTCCTCGTATTTTGTTCCACATTTTCAATAACTCTCCTAATAAGTGTACCTCCATTTAATTTTTTTAACTGCGTATTTAAGGAAAGACTTTCAAAGTATAGGCGTAGTATGGATCGAGAAGTTTCGTATACTTCATCGGTGCACCAGCTTGGAAGTGGTATATTTAATAGTTTCTGAAGGCAGAATTGAAAACAAAGTGTTAGAAGTTTTTACAAGTATCAAGATAATGTCTAAACATTAGGATAAAGTTTACATGAATTTGTATTAACGACGCTGTCCATCCACAAACATTTAAAATTTTGGGAAAATATGAATGTCCAGTTTGATACTCCAAGTACTTCACAAATTTTGTATAACTTAATAATTTCTTCTGAAATTCTATAGAACTTCTTAGAATACTTTTGTTAATGCTTTTAAATCTATTAGATAAGTAAATATGTAATCATTTACAAAAATCGATTGAGTGACCCAACAATTTCAACTAATACATACTTTGGACTCATGTATGGTGAGAGAATAATATCTGTTTCTCCATTTTTCATCTCTGGGATTTCATACGGTACAGATGTTCGAGAAAAAAGGCCAGTTAACAGGAGCTCTAGTGACTCTCTCGTACGAGGTACATTGGTACTTCTGGCTACTAATTTTTTTCTGTTGTAAACACCCAAGTGGTCATTATAATATTTTCTGAGCAATTTTCCCAACAAGTACTCTTGCTCCCTTCCTTCCTAAGTAAGGATTGCCACATTAGATACTGTGATAATGGGGTACTGTTGGTATACAATTACCCTAAGATCAAAAAATTTTTTCAAATACTATATGCATGAACTAAAAGAACAGTACGGAAACGAAATTGGTTGAGGTAACTGAAGAATGTAATTAAAAATAGTCCAATGATTGAATTCCTAAACAAACTATTTATTTAATGACAAGAGCCAAATTATTCTTTATTTAATCAAAAGTTAATTACAATATCAAATTTTGTTTTATAAAGTCAATTAATAAATTAACTTGTGTGTTTTCTAACCTACTGTTGATTAAGTTAATTAAATTTCTTTTTCCATGTATTTTTACCATTTATCAATTAATGCCACTGATACGTAAAAAAATCTTGGCACTTGTTACTGATAATTTCCTTACTTAACATCAATTTTTTATGACTTTTTCATCTTTTACGTTAAATTATTAAGTAAAGTTTTATTAAAAATTAACGTAATTTTTNAAGGACTTTAACTAAAAATAAATTATCGTAAAGCAGATCAACATAATTAAAATATAATCACTACAACGAAATATGATTGTTATGATTAAAAAAAATTTTTTTTAAATTCAAGGTCTATTTTAGAAAAACGCAAATAGCAAGAAATATCTTTTATGTACTCCAACGTATGCTAAGAGCCAGAGCAAATACCTAATGATATGTATCTAATGACAGAATGATAATGAATGATAATGTTTTGTCTTTCATGAGATAAAATTCATCAGCTGTGTTGAGTCATCTAAGTGAATATGAAATATAAATATTTGTCTTTATTGTGGTTACAGCAGCAGTAAGCGATTATTGGAAAAATGTTCGATAAAATTCTTCTTCTCACGTGTCTTCTTACTGCTTCTCAATCACGTAAGCTTGAAAAACGTTAAAATATCAAAAATGCTTTGAATTTCCGTTAAAATTTTTGAATTGTACAGATTATCCTCAACCTTTATCTGCCAGAGTCTTAAATGGTCATGATGCTGTGCCTGGAGAAATTCCATTCAGGGTTTCCATGCAATGGAGTATACCTCCTTTCTCATCAAGAGTACATTTCTGTGGTGGTGCTATCCTTGACGAGCAGTGGATCTTAACACGTGCTGAATGTGTTCGATTTATACAAAAATACAATAATACTCGTGAAATCGTTGTAAAAACTGGTAAAAATGATCTAGGAAAGATAGAAAAATCAGAGCAAACATCTAAGATAGCCGTAGTTCACGTGAATCACGATTTGTAAGCTGCTTAATTTTTTTAATCAAGTGAATTTTAGAATCCACGAACGATTTTGTAACCAAATATTACTATTTATTATAGTTTTTTGGATGAAAAGAGAGGACAAGTTGGATTAGTGAAGCTATCAACGCCACTCGTATTTAACAATAATGTTACGAAGATTAAAGTTGCTCAGCTGACTGAAGGAACAGCAAAGATAGTAACCATGTCTGGTTGGGGTCCAATGACTGACAAAAATTCTGAATACACCACAGTTTTACAAGTTGCAAATGTTCGTATCATTCCTCACGAGGATTGCGAGAAAATGTTTCATGAGAGTACCTGGAAGCGAAATGAACTTACTGACAACATTTTTTATGAGGAAAATTTTTGCACTGAACGCATTAGTGAAACAGCTTGTGGAGTATGTGAAACAATAATGATAAAAATCAAGAAAGTTTGTTGCATACATACGTATCTATGATTCTAATTCAATGTTATGTGATTTTAGGGTGATTTTGGTAGTCCCATAACCATGACAAATTCAAGTAATGATACAATACTTGTCGGGCTTACAAGCTGGGGATTAGTGCCTCCTTGTACTCAACCATCGTCTCCTTTAGTATTCATTAAAATAGCTGTTTTCTTAAAATGGATAAACAATATCATTTATGCATATTCTTGATGTCAGTAGTGACAATGACGTGACTCATCATGACCGATAAGATGTTGTATGGAAAAGAAAGTACTTGTGCTGTAAAGTTCAAGCCCCGTACGAATTCTTCGTGAACATTGTTGTTGAAAAACAATAAATAGATGAATTTTCCTTTTCTAATTTTACTAATTTTGATTGCTGACACCTCCTTTTACTCCATAAAAAGTTACATATCAAAAGAAGACATTGTTTTCCTAATTTTCCTTAATGTTTAAGGTCTTAGTCCATACCATGAGTATAACTGAGACAATATTATTTTATCGTAAACATAGTTATAATGCAAGTAGCTATGTAATTACCAAAAGTAAACTGTACGCCGAACAGAGAATAAGAAATGTAACCTTAGAATTATCTTTATCTGTTTCTCGTTGTTTGTGAAGTTCCCAGGAAATCAATTACTGAATCTGAGCTTACTTTCTAACAGTATACTAACCTAGTTTGTGACGTCAACCTATTTCATTGACGATGTACAGCAGTTTTCTATGGTGGTGCCTTTCGTGGTCAGATCTAAAATGTATTCTAACGTGCATTCTCTATACGCTTAAACATCGTCAATCCACAGCACTTTAAGCAAATGAAAAATACAACAATTTTATGCAAGAATTACTTTTATTCCAATTCTTCCACATTTCTTAGGTTTTACTTTTCCATGACATCAGTCAAAACACTTACAATAGTCACAAAGTTATCGTTTAAGAAGCAGTAGCAAGATGGGTGAAATACCGATAAATATTTTGCTTAATCACGACTTCAACACCACAATTGCTCTAATCGAACAATCGAAAAGGTTTGCCTCTTGCTAAGGCGTGATTAACACCTTTGATCAGATTATATTTGTAAGCACATCAAAGATCTAAAATATTTCACCGATTGAATAAAAGTACGAATATTAAACTTACTTGATACTATACTAAATATTTGTTTTGAGCTTGCACAAGACAAGAGATTAACTATTCGAAAATCATAAATTTGCTACTGGCTGATTTTCTACTAAAAAAAAAAATATGAGTAATATAAAATTATCGAAGGATAACTTTAAAATGGTCAAACTTCAGGAAACTCACAGCATTTATCGAAAAGAAAGTCTTGCGTAGTTTTGTAAGTAAATTTCTTTTATTTTCAATAGTTTCAACGCAATATTTACGTGTCACTTCTGTATAAACAGTTATCTTAACGAAAGAGTAAAAAATAATCTTTTGTATGATAATACAACAAAATCAAGATACACAACAATGGCTGGTTTCGTACGGTGGTGTTTTCTATGAGCCAGTAGTACCAGGATTAAAAAACTTTAAATCTTCATCCGTAGGAATTATATTCTTTACCAACATTTTATACTTATCAACCAGACAATACCTTTCACAATTTTTTATTATCAGTTCTACTAATTCGTCACTCGATCCGTTCGAACTTAACACCTTCAACGGGAAGAAACTAATTTTACAATACGAATGCAAAGAAAAAAAAATGAAATTTTTAAAAACTTACTCTCATATAATATTTCTGTTTCATATCTTTGTAACTTTCCACGATGTAAGCACTACCTAATGGTGGTTCTTCAAACGCGCCAATAATGTTCTCAGATGCCGAGAAAGAAATCAAACTAATATCGTGTCCGCCGTACAAGTAAATTTTTTTTCTCCTCCTCGTATTTTGTTCCATATTTTCAATAACTGTTCGAATAAGTCCACCTCCATTCAATTTTTTTAGCTGCATATTTAAAGAAAGACTTTTTAAGAATAGGCTTTTCATAGCTTGAGACTCTTCGTATACTTCATCGGTGCACCAGCTTGGAAGTGGTATATTTAATGATTTCTGAAGAAATAATTGAAAACCAAGTTTTAAAGTCACTTTTTTATAAAGTACTACGATAATAATCTTTCTTATAGTCCATTGCTTACGTGAATTTGAAATAATATTCCAACCACTGCACATTTAAGCACAGCATCAGGAAAGTACGGTTGTCCAGTTTTTTCCTCTAGAAATTTTATAAACGTTGTGTAATTTGATAACTTCTTTTGAAATTCTTTTGAGTTTTTTAGTACGTTTTTGTGAAAGTCCTTAAATCTGTTAAACAATTATCATATTAATCTTCACAAAAGCAATCTCGATAATCTACTGTTTTCCAGCCTGTACGTACTTCTTAGTTAAGTATGGTGCAAGAATCATATTTTTTTCAATACTAGCAACTCTATCCGGTACTAGATTTGGAGCAAAGAGGCCAGTTAAAACAAGCCTGAGCGACTCGATAGTACGAACTGAGTTGGTACTTTTAGCTACCAATTCTTTTTCGTTGAAAGTCCCTATATGGTTACCGTAATATTTTCTGAGCAATATTCCTAACTTATACTCTTGCTTCTTTCCTCCCTAAATAAATATTTTGAATTCAAATAGTTATCTTTTAGTGTAAGAATATTTTATGGAGGATATCCGCATAAAATAACAGATTATATAGAAACAAACAAGAGCCGCAGTTTAATTTGTTCACGTAATGTTAATAAACTAAATTAAGTCTAATAGATCTTCGAAACGCTGGATGATATGTCACTACTAAGGACAGCAGATAATAGCATGAGGTATAATTTCAAATATCCACTAAATTAAGAAATTACACCACCGCCTTTCTGCTAAGCTAACTGATTTTTAAATCACTACCGTTAACCTTTTAGCAATACTCGGTTAAGTTAATAGAATGAGTTGAAAATGTTTAATAAATGGATTTAACTACTTATCGTTTTTCAAAACTTTTTTAAGGTTGATAAGATAAATTATGATTTTACTTCTGTTAGTTGTCCAAAATCATCATATCCATAAAAAGATGGGTCGGTAATATTTAGAATATTCGCTTCTCTCTCAAGTGGAGTTCGCAGTCCATGTCTAAAAATCTAGATTAGTTTTTTTTAGAAGTACGAAACAAGTTATTGATTACTAAATTGTTAAAAAAAAAAAAAACTTACTACTTGAACAAGATTCAATGTTAAATCATCCTCCTCATCACTTGTGTGGGTGGCATTTGAATATTGAACGTATAATATTAAACATAATAACGAAACTTGGAGCATTTCTGTAATTTGGAGCACAAAGTCAAATATATTTCCCAAGTTGACTTGTAAGTGTTACTCAAAATCTGTAGACAAATGTATGGATGAATAACATTTATAAATATTAGAGTAAGATGAAAATTAAGTGACATACGCGTATCACGTTTTAAAGTTTAAAGTATTTTAAAAAATAAGAGTGATTTGATTTAATCAAGAAATACCGTCAGGAACATAAGTGTATTATTGTAATTGCGTACGTATTTTAAGCGTAAGCAAGTATCGCCTCAAAATATTGAGAGGTTTAACACAAATTTTACTAAACCATCTCCAGAAAAATTTTCTGATTTTTTGTGTTTAATACTATGATGTGAAATTTATTTTAATGACTTTAATGGATTCAATCAATAAAACCTCGAAAAATTCTTCAATGTCAGTTATTTTGAAAAAACATCTAATAGTCACGTATGAACTATGTTTGATATTTGTATATCGACAATATATATAAGTTCAGATGGCGCAAATACACTTGTATAAAGCAAAAATGAAGACCTGACGCTTGAGATTTCAAAATTCCAGTAGTGTTTTTTTTACTTCATCAAAGTTTAAAAAAAAGTTAAGTGTTGCAATGATTTGACACGTTACTCACAGTCATAAAGATTTAAATACAATTTCATGAGAAGCTACCTTTTATTATAAAAATTCTTCGTTTTCTCTCTGTAATAAAATAATTTTCAAATTCTCCAAGCGACAGATGGATTGGCTTGTCGATGTATAATATACTACAGTGGAGATAAGATAAGACATTGATAGATGTTAATCGAAAAATTGACTGTACATTTGAAGAGTCAGCAGTTAGCCACTTCCTAAGCTCACTATTTCCAAATTTCTTTAGTCATCGCGATAAATGTAAGGACAGATGCGGCAGTGCTTGAAACGACATCAGTAGGTTTTAAGCTTTACCTCGATCTTTACTGCTGTGTATACAGTTATCGCAATGTGTAAAAAAACGAAAGTAAGATTGTTGTCATATTAAAAGCAAATTTTCCTCTACAAAGTTTTAAATCAGTAGTTGCTCGCGTAAATGTATCTTTAAAGTGTTGAAATGGAATATGATTTCCTTAAATCATTTTTATTGAAAGAAATAGAAATCCATAACATAAGAATACTACGAGACCGTTGCTTTTGAAAACTGTTGGAAGAAAGATTAGATCCAAGTAGCATTTCTCATTTTTGATGAAAAATACAATACTTGGAGAATTTTTCTTTTTAAGTGTATTATAGGTAAGTCACTTTTATCGTAAGAATTTTTACTGTTATATGATTGAAAAATTCAATTTATTTTCATTTACTTTAAGTAAAAACCACAATTAAAAGGTTTAATGGGTAAAAAGTTTTAAAAAATTGTCATCATAATTTGTTAATTAACATTATTAGAAAATATCATAGGACGCAATCGTGTTAATTAAGTGATCAATCAAAAAAATTTCTCTTTAACTTATTTACATGATTAAAAATTAAGTATACTGTTTTTTTTTTTTCAATGATTATGAAAATATTAAAAAGTACTTACTAAAGTATCCCAAAAATTGAGTAACAAATATAATTAGAGTTTGATTAATATTTATAAATTATTTTAAACTTTGCACTACCTTCCTAACGTATATTTTTTATATTCATCGAGACCTGATTCAAAAACTTGAATAACTTCAGAATAAAGTGAAAGAAATGGTATTTAATGTTCTTTTTCTCAATAGTACATTTCATATCTAACGTTGGCCTCATCAAACAAAAACATACTCCGCATTACTTAATGTGTTATTTAACTGGAAATATGGCAACAACAATGTTTAGAAAAAATATCCACAGGTGTGCTAACATTTACAGAAAACAATTACTGAACTAAAAATAGAGCGTCAGCCGTAATTGTATGTTTATTTAATCTCAGTCGATGTCCAACCGCAGTTCTTTCAATACTTTCGGTGTTATTTCGTACTTCAAGTTGACTCAAAACAAAATTAATTCTAGAAATTAAATAATTCTCCTTCATTAAAACTAAATACGTGTTTTTATCCAAAAAACCAAGTATGTGACATTTTTTACAGTTGAAAGTATTACGCTGTGTATATAGACAACACTAAGCAGTTCTAAAAACTAATTAAAAAAACACTTTTGAGTTAAGGGAGGGATACTAATGAATGAAGATTTTTTAGATAAAATAGTAAATAAAGTAAAAAGATACCATAACGTAAAAGGACTTTAACTAAAAATAAATTATCGTAAAGCAGATCAACATAATTAAAATATAATCACTACAACGAAATATGATTGTTATGATTAAAAAAAATTTTTTTTAAATTCAAGGTCTATTTTAGAAAAACGCAAATAGCAAGAAATATCTTTTATGTACTCCAACGTATGCTAAGAGCCAGAGCAAATACCTAATGATATGTATCTAATGACAGAATGATAATGAATGATAATGTTTTGTCTTTCATGAGATAAAATTCATCAGCTGTGTTGAGTCATCTAAGTGAATATGAAATATAAATATTTGTCTTTATTGTGGTTACAGCAGCAGTAAGCGATTATTGGAAAAATGTTCGATAAAATTCTTCTTCTCACGTGTCTTCTTACTGCTTCTCAATCACGTAAGCTTGAAAAACGTTAAAATATCAAAAATGCTTTGAATTTCCGTTAAAATTTTTGAATTGTACAGATTATCCTCAACCTTTATCTGCCAGAGTCTTAAATGGTCATGATGCTGTGCCTGGAGAAATTCCATTCAGGGTTTCCATGCAATGGAGTATACCTCCTTTCTCATCAAGAGTACATTTCTGTGGTGGTGCTATCCTTGACGAGCAGTGGATCTTAACACGTGCTGAATGTGTTCGATTTATACAAAAATACAATAATACTCGTGAAATCGTTGTAAAAACTGGTAAAAATGATCTAGGAAAGATAGAAAAATCAGAGCAAACATCTAAGATAGCCGTAGTTCACGTGAATCACGATTTGTAAGCTGCTTAATTTTTTTAATCAAGTGAATTTTAGAATCCACGAACGATTTTGTAACCAAATATTACTATTTATTATAGTTTTTTGGATGAAAAGAGAGGACAAGTTGGATTAGTGAAGCTATCAACGCCACTCGTATTTAACAATAATGTTACGAAGATTAAAGTTGCTCAGCTGACTGAAGGAACAGCAAAGATAGTAACCATGTCTGGTTGGGGTCCAATGACTGACAAAAATTCTGAATACACCACAGTTTTACAAGTTGCAAATGTTCGTATCATTCCTCACGAGGATTGCGAGAAAATGTTTCATGAGAGTACCTGGAAGCGAAATGAACTTACTGACAACATTTTTTATGAGGAAAATTTTTGCACTGAACGCATTAGTGAAACAGCTTGTGGAGTATGTGAAACAATAATGATAAAAATCAAGAAAGTTTGTTGCATACATACGTATCTATGATTCTAATTCAATGTTATGTGATTTTAGGGTGATTTTGGTAGTCCCATAACCATGACAAATTCAAGTAATGATACAATACTTGTCGGGCTTACAAGCTGGGGATTAGTGCCTCCTTGTACTCAACCATCGTCTCCTTTAGTATTCATTAAAATAGCTGTTTTCTTAAAATGGATAAACAATATCATTTATGCATATTCTTGATGTCAGTAGTGACAATGACGTGACTCATCATGACCGATAAGATGTTGTATGGAAAAGAAAGTACTTGTGCTGTAAAGTTCAAGCCCCGTACGAATTCTTCGTGAACATTGTTGTTGAAAAACAATAAATAGATGAATTTTCCTTTTCTAATTTTACTAATTTTGATTGCTGACACCTCCTTTTACTCCATAAAAAGTTACATATCAAAAGAAGACATTGTTTTCCTAATTTTCCTTAATGTTTAAGGTCTTAGTCCATACCATGAGTATAACTGAGACAATATTATTTTATCGTAAACATAGTTATAATGCAAGTAGCTATGTAATTACCAAAAGTAAACTGTACGCCGAACAGAGAATAAGAAATGTAACCTTAGAATTATCTTTATCTGTTTCTCGTTGTTTGTGAAGTTCCCAGGAAATCAATTACTGAATCTGAGCTTACTTTCTAACAGTATACTAACCTAGTTTGTGACGTCAACCTATTTCATTGACGATGTACAGCAGTTTTCTATGGTGGTGCCTTTCGTGGTCAGATCTAAAATGTATTCTAACGTGCATTCTCTATACGCTTAAACATCGTCAATCCACAGCACTTTAAGCAAATGAAAAATACAACAATTTTATGCAAGAATTACTTTTATTCCAATTCTTCCACATTTCTTAGGTTTTACTTTTCCATGACATCAGTCAAAACACTTACAATAGTCACAAAGTTATCGTTTAAGAAGCAGTAGCAAGATGGGTGAAATACCGATAAATATTTTGCTTAATCACGACTTCAACACCACAATTGCTCTAATCGAACAATCGAAAAGGTTTGCCTCTTGCTAAGGCGTGATTAACACCTTTGATCAGATTATATTTGTAAGCACATCAAAGATCTAAAATATTTCACCGATTGAATAAAAGTACGAATATTAAACTTACTTGATACTATACTAAATATTTGTTTTGAGCTTGCACAAGACAAGAGATTAACTATTCGAAAATCATAAATTTGCTACTGGCTGATTTTCTACTAAAAAAAAAAATATGAGTAATATAAAATTATCGAAGGATAACTTTAAAATGGTCAAACTTCAGGAAACTCACAGCATTTATCGAAAAGAAAGTCTTGCGTAGTTTTGTAAGTAAATTTCTTTTATTTTCAATAGTTTCAACGCAATATTTACGTGTCACTTCTGTATAAACAGTTATCTTAACGAAAGAGTAAAAAATAATCTTTTGTATGATAATACAACAAAATCAAGATACACAACAATGGCTGGTTTCGTACGGTGGTGTTTTCTATGAGCCAGTAGTACCAGGATTAAAAAACTTTAAATCTTCATCCGTAGGAATTATATTCTTTACCAACATTTTATACTTATCAACCAGACAATACCTTTCACAATTTTTTATTATCAGTTCTACTAATTCGTCACTCGATCCGTTCGAACTTAACACCTTCAACGGGAAGAAACTAATTTTACAATACGAATGCAAAGAAAAAAAAATGAAATTTTTAAAAACTTACTCTCATATAATATTTCTGTTTCATATCTTTGTAACTTTCCACGATGTAAGCACTACCTAATGGTGGTTCTTCAAACGCGCCAATAATGTTCTCAGATGCCGAGAAAGAAATCAAACTAATATCGTGTCCGCCGTACAAGTAAATTTTTTTTCTCCTCCTCGTATTTTGTTCCATATTTTCAATAACTGTTCGAATAAGTCCACCTCCATTCAATTTTTTTAGCTGCATATTTAAAGAAAGACTTTTTAAGAATAGGCTTTTCATAGCTTGAGACTCTTCGTATACTTCATCGGTGCACCAGCTTGGAAGTGGTATATTTAATGATTTCTGAAGAAATAATTGAAAACCAAGTTTTAAAGTCACTTTTTTATAAAGTACTACGATAATAATCTTTCTTATAGTCCATTGCTTACGTGAATTTGAAATAATATTCCAACCACTGCACATTTAAGCACAGCATCAGGAAAGTACGGTTGTCCAGTTTTTTCCTCTAGAAATTTTATAAACGTTGTGTAATTTGATAACTTCTTTTGAAATTCTTTTGAGTTTTTTAGTACGTTTTTGTGAAAGTCCTTAAATCTGTTAAACAATTATCATATTAATCTTCACAAAAGCAATCTCGATAATCTACTGTTTTCCAGCCTGTACGTACTTCTTAGTTAAGTATGGTGCAAGAATCATATTTTTTTCAATACTAGCAACTCTATCCGGTACTAGATTTGGAGCAAAGAGGCCAGTTAAAACAAGCCTGAGCGACTCGATAGTACGAACTGAGTTGGTACTTTTAGCTACCAATTCTTTTTCGTTGAAAGTCCCTATATGGTTACCGTAATATTTTCTGAGCAATATTCCTAACTTATACTCTTGCTTCTTTCCTCCCTAAATAAATATTTTGAATTCAAATAGTTATCTTTTAGTGTAAGAATATTTTATGGAGGATATCCGCATAAAATAACAGATTATATAGAAACAAACAAGAGCCGCAGTTTAATTTGTTCACGTAATGTTAATAAACTAAATTAAGTCTAATAGATCTTCGAAACGCTGGATGATATGTCACTACTAAGGACAGCAGATAATAGCATGAGGTATAATTTCAAATATCCACTAAATTAAGAAATTACACCACCGCCTTTCTGCTAAGCTAACTGATTTTTAAATCACTACCGTTAACCTTTTAGCAATACTCGGTTAAGTTAATAGAATGAGTTGAAAATGTTTAATAAATGGATTTAACTACTTATCGTTTTTCAAAACTTTTTTAAGGTTGATAAGATAAATTATGATTTTACTTCTGTTAGTTGTCCAAAATCATCATATCCATAAAAAGATGGGTCGGTAATATTTAGAATATTCGCTTCTCTCTCAAGTGGAGTTCGCAGTCCATGTCTAAAAATCTAGATTAGTTTTTTTTAGAAGTACGAAACAAGTTATTGATTACTAAATTGTTAAAAAAAAAAAAAACTTACTACTTGAACAAGGTCTAGTCTTAAATAATCTCCATCGTAACGTATAATATTTGCGTTTGAATAGTGAATACACCCTAAGAAAAATAATAACCAAACTCGCAGCATTTTTGTATTTTGGTTTTAAAATTGACTTGTCAACGTTACTCGATACCTGTAAAAAAATGTACGTATGTGTATGAATATGTATATTTTTGTACAAATTTGAGCAAGATGAGAATCAAGTTATTTGATAGTACTGTATAAACAGGTCAAAAGAACGAGTTGATAGCAATAAGCAGTGAAAGAAATATGAAAAGCTTTTACACTTCTAAGAAAATAAATACTTTCAAATAAGTAATTAATGTTTTTGGATCGAATTCAGAGGTATTGAAGTTGCATGTGAAATTTAGTTGATTACAAATTTTTATTCAGTTTATTAAACAAAATTCCCAAAAATTGATTTAATTCGATATTTCCAGAATCAAAATTAATTTTATGCTACTACACATGTTAGTCACAGTTAAGAAGATAAAACTACACTGCCATGAACAGCTTTTCTTTTTTTTATCCAACCGAATTTTTGACAGGTACATTAAGAGATGCACAGGAGGCATTGAAATGCTTCTCTCTGCCATAAAAATATTTAAAAACTTGGACAGATATTAGCTTATTGGTGTATTATGCGCTTTAGTTGAGATAGGATATTGTGAGGAAAAATACCTTCATTAATTAAGAATGAGAAGTAAGCCTATCTATATCCTCTGTTTGCAAATGTCTTTAGTCACAATCAAAAGTACGAGAATTAAGGTGCCTAAACCCAATTCGGAACGTTATAATAAAAACATACATGAATCAGGAAAAAGATTTAAGTAAGAGACATCTCAAGCCAAAAACAAATATTCCTCTATAAAACTTTTAATCGAGTAATCAAAGGTATTAGCTCAAGTGGATGTGTCTTTATCATCTTAAAACAGAGTATCCCTTTTTTGTTCATATTTCAATGCAAACATAAAATTATAACACGATCCCAGATTTTTAAAGCTAAGGAGCGAAAGCTTCGGTCCAAGTAGCATTTCTCAGTCTTACTGCAAGCTAGAATACATAATGCATTTTTCTTTATCGAATTTTAAGTTGGCGTTATCTAAAAGAATTATAAATTTATATTTATCTTGAATAGAAAAAAATTAATTAATATACTCCGGACTATGGTGTACATTTTAATTAGGCCTAATATCTATACATGACCAAAAAAAAGTTAAAAACTATATTTCTTATTGTAAGTATGTCGATAAATGTTTCGAACAACATTAGATGCGTACATTCGTCTTGAAGCATAGTTCTGTAATCTAAATAAATTTGTAACTCTAAAAATTAAACAGTTAAAAACATGACTATAATGCCTTTAAATTAATATTTTAAAATTTATTTTTTAGGTTGTTATTATTTCATATATTTTTTGGATTTTTTGATACCTGATGCAAATACTACCTCTGTATAATGTTAGAGCTTTGATATAATCTTTTGACGCAACGAAATCAAATATTGTAAAAAAAGTAATTGTTAATATCTTTCTTCTATAGTAAGACATTTCATAATGAGGGTTGGACTTGATTACTTAAATAATAAGAAATAATGATTGAACAAATATTTACATTTCCGCTAACATTCAAATAGTAATATGAAAGTAGAACACCGAATCGAACTCCACATATTTTATTGTTATTATCAAAAAATTTGCTTATCTGAAAAAAAAAATTAATAGAGATACTAACAGTGTCTGATTTATTATTATCTAATTTAACGATAATTTTTGTTGTCCTATAGCAACGACAACTTCAAATAACGATACAATACTTGTCGAGATTACATGAAGTGTAATCATGTCTTCATATACTCAATTTTTTTTTCTATAATTACTGGTTTCTTAGAATAGATTAATGATGTTATTTATGGATACTTTTGATAGCAGACGAGACACACGAGTAAGAAATGATTAACTGAACATGACCGATAAGATGTTGTATAACAAAAAATCCGTTAGCTTCTTATATAATGTTCAAGCAGTGCGTTATTTTTTTATCAATTATTCTGTCTAAAAGTAATAAAGTGGACTATCATAACGATCATAGATGTGCAAGACAATAATTATTATTGTAGTATCTGATCTTATTTTTATGAATTGAACTTTTTTGTACGATAATACTTAGTGATATTCGATATTTCTATTCCACCTTGATATCAGATGGTTTGGAATTTCACAGAAGTTTTTTATCAAAAAATTTCGAAAAAGTACATTACAAAATAAGTAACGTGCAGTTTTAACAAATTTTGTCATTAAGTCGCATGGATGCACTGCAAGATATGTGTGAGAAGTAGATTTTCTTTATACTAGGACAATGCATGATTTACTTGAAAGTATCTATGAACATAGATGATATTAAAATATATTCCTTACCATGTTGTTACTTATTCAATTTAATGCTTACTACTCGAACGAAATTGCACATTTCACGAGGAACAAAAATTAACTATATCTACGTTTGATCATTTTGTACAAAAATGAGATGCACACTTTGATTATTCTGTTTGATTCAAATCACGTCAGCAAAATTTGTCCAAAGCTAATCAGAAATACTTGAATCTTGACCAGTTTTATCATAAACGATTATTTGGCATCAAGATTATCGAGCTAAGTAACTATATAAGTCGCGAAAACATCATACGCATTATACTCACGTAGTTCATATCGTCAAGATGAAGCTAACTATAGGGACTTTGTTGGCTTTTTTCCTGATTCAGAGTAAGTTAACAACCCTTCGATTTTATTGCGCATACTCGAGTAATCGATCAAACAATAAAATTCAATTCACAGTTTGTACCTCCTCTACAATACCAAAGCTTGGTTCACGCATCACCAACGCCAAAAATGCTGCACCAGGACAGTTTCCATACCAAGTATCCGTCGAGCTTAAATTTCCACTGTTAAAGTCCAAACATGTCTGCGGTGGTTCCATCATCAACGAAAACTACGTCCTCACAGCTGGCCATTGCGCCAAGGGTTTCACGTTCTTATTAGGAAAGATGAGGGTCAAGGTTGGCCAACATGACTTAAAACAAAGCAACGAATATTCACAGATCGTCGAGGTTGCCAAGCGAATCCCACATGAATCGTTTCCCGGGTGAGTTGGACATTAGTCGTAAAAGTCGAGTTGTACAACTGATTATAAAAACCGTATGACAATTATCCAACAGAGGCTTAACCCCTAAGCAACATGACATCGCGCTATTAAAATTAAGAAAACCTTTGGTATTCAACGAGAACGTCCAACCAGTCCAGCTTCCCGAACAGGATTCGGATTATTCTGGCATGGCTTTCCTCAGCGGTTGGGGCTCCACGGCTTTTGGATTCAGACCTAAGCTTCCTCAGATTCTTCAGTTCGCTTCTGTACCCATAATCGAGCAAAAGGAGTGCAAGAATTTCTACAACGGCCAGAGGGGTAGTCCTGGTATTGACGAAACTATGGTTTGCAGTGGTCCTATCAATGGTTCCATCTCCGCTTGTGTTGTAAGTTGTTAATTAACATTTATAGTAATTTAAATAATATCAAGTTTTTTACGGCTAGTGCATGTATGATTTTCGAGAATAAGAGTCATACCAGTCAGAATTAGTGGTTAATTTGGAGAAAACGACTGTACAATTACTGATATGTAGTCATTCTTCAATGCTATAACATACACAGTAATTGCTATTTAGCTCGTGAGATCGTAGTACCGCTACAACTCTTCAAAACTATTCAATTCAAGTCCTTTAATGTTGTGATATTCTATGTCTTATAATAACGTATATAATAATATATTAACGATATAATAACGTCTTCCTATCACTTGATCAATACAACATAATTTTTCGCTTCCATTGAAATTCATACGAACGATTTGTATTTCTAATATTTTTATTCTAGGGTGACTCTGGTGGTCCATTAGTTCAATACGTAGAAGATAAGCCAGTTCAAATTGGTGTAGTTTCCTGGGGATCATTTCCATGTGGCGCTGGAGCTCCATCTGTCTACACACGTGTCTCCTCGTACGTCGACTGGATCAGGAAAATTTCCAGTTAATATTGCCAAAGATTAAGATTACACTTGTATCAATAATTTTATCATTATTCATCTTATCTAATTTTAGTAGTATACAGTCATCGATTCGTGTCGTTTTTATATTGTAAATGTAAAACATTATACGTATAGTTTAAAATGGCTCTTTGTTTTTATTGCTATATAAGCTTATAAATCTCAAGCCTACTTAATCTTTTACTTGTACATCGAAGAATTTTTTTGATTACTTGAAAATGTCATTTTTTAAAGATGTATGGCAATATACTCGTAAAACCTGACAAACTGGTTTAATCACATCTGAGTTTGTTGGCCTTTCCAACTCACAAAAGCCAGGAAAAAACAGTAAAAAAAGCCCCCAGAATTTCTCTATGTTACATCTGGTTTTCTCTCTTCCATCTAAATTAAATGTCGTAATTAATGTTTTGAAAGTGACGGTAGTTGTAGTTTTAGGAACACGAGCCTAGAATGATGCTCTCCTCTTTCATGTATAATTACTGTCTAGAATAGTTCTTCAGGAGAAAATGGGGAAAGTGTTGAGTAATGACATTTATTTGGTTTTTTATTTACGAATTTTTTTATTATTAAAAAAAATGATATGAACAAAGATCGATTTCATTTTTCTATAACAATGTAGGCAAGTTATTGATTTTGAGTTCTAATGTTGTATCCACAAAAGAGGGATCCATACAAGTCTCCACTATATATTTTGAGACCCCATGAGATGAGTGTCTTTATTGATTATTTTAGAGACCACATTGATTACTTTTCTTCATTTTCGTTTGTCGTGACTTGAAGGATGAAAACAATAAGTGAACCACCCCATAATCACTTCAGGCATTGTCTGAGCTTTCCGAGATAAAATTGATGTCGTAAGACTGATGTTTTTAGTGTTGCAGAGAAGGTAATCCAGTTAAGCTTGTACGGACAATTTGTAGGCAAGACGTTTGATATTCTCAAACAGACTTTTTTAAGGGAGAATACAATTTTTCTGTATGAACCTACTGTTTATTACCCATAAAAATAGCCAGACGAAAAAAAAAATACTTTTGAGCTCAAGGGAGCTTTTTAAAAACTTCAACAGTCGATTATCGAAATTCGGCAGATTTCCAGACGGCAAACACTTGCTTCTCGCGCTACATCAGTGCCTGTAAAAACATTAGCAAAGAGAACGAGAAGAGCACGAGTAACTTCCTAAATCAACATATCGTCTGAAAATATCAAACTCTGGCGCAGCTCTGCCCCCCTCCCGCCCCTTTTGGTCCTCTTGGCAAACACAAGTAAGAAAGAAAACGTACTTTCTGGGGGCAAAAACTCGCGATAAATTATCGTTAAGTCCTTCGGGCGAGGAAAAGTGTAAAACAAATTTGTCGAAGGGAGAGTCTAGCGCCAGTACAAACTTTTCGCTTGAACGGACTCGCCGACGACGATGTCTTCAAGACTCGAGCACACATATATACGTGCACGGGTGTATGTGCTCGGAAGTTGACTCAAGGCTCACTTTTCCGTGTGTATTTTGTAGATGGAGCTTTTTCCTGCGAACTAAAAATTCGCTCAACTTTTTTTTTTTTTTTTTTTTCTAGTCAAGGAAGAAACAATTTCTGTTTTCGAAGCGATTAAACTGCTTTAGAGCTCTATGAAGTAAAAATGTGCAAATTTCCATTGGCGAATCGCATACTACATAATTTTTTCAATAATTACAGTTGAGTTGAACAACTTCTGTATTTAGATGCCTTATCTATACTTATTTTTTTTCCTCTTCATTGCCTCCAGATCGGATATCAGTTTGCTAAAGATAAGGCACGTGAAAAGGAGGACGCAAGAAATAACTCTTTAAATACTTCTTTTACTCTGCTTTCGATAGCTGGTATTATCAGTATAATCTGCCAAATTGATCTCTGTTGGCAAGATTTCGTAAAGATTTGCGTACGTTTCGACACGCTAGGTGCTCGTGTCCTAGAATTATCTGACTTTTTTTTTTTTTTCTTCTTAAAATTTGAAGCAAAGGTACACGTTCTTTCATTTAACTCATAGGTACTCCATCGCATCAGGTATACAGAACATTCGAAATTGATGAAGTGGGGTGAACTCCTTACAACACCCATCCACAAGGAACAAAAAAATTCACTACTTGAAAAAAGGTTGAGAGTCAAGCTCATTTTCAATGTAAACGTAGTCTACCAGGCTAAGGGAAAAAATAACGAATGCAGGTGGCATTAAACTATTAGGACAATCAAAAAGTCACTCTTTTCCATCCTGTGAGTTCACATCACAATCGATATCCCAAGAGCTAGAGACCCAAACACCAATCCATGCATGTATGGAGGCTTTATTAGTGCGAGTTTTGGAACATCGAGAAATAACCTTTGATGCTCGATAGCTACAACAGAGAACAGTACCACTATCTAGTCGTGAATGTGCCTTTGACGTTTGCCAGACACCGGGTTACTGCTGGTTGCAGTAATTGACTGTTGCGAGGTGCGCCACTCGCTCGCCGTAGCTCTTTGTTTTAAAAATAGAAAAAGACTTTAGTTCAAATACTCTGTAAAGTGAATACAGTTGATTTTCATTTTTTGTTTACTCTGAAACACTTGGATAAGTGGGTTACTCTTTGCATCAGGAAAAAGTTTCAGATTTACATTGGAAAACAATATTCCTTGATGTAAAGGTCTATTTTCTAGTCTTGTCAGGTCTAAATTTTCCAAAAAAATGTATTGCTCGGTATGGTATTTGTAAAATACAACTGGTATGCCAGTTAAAAATATTTTAAACACCACATAAGCTTCATAGTCCGTTCATCACAAAATCTATTGCAAGTAAATCCATTGTCACGATTCGAAATAATAAAAAGAAAGTATCTCTCTCGAGACCTATAGGGTAACAGCAGTAGCGACAATTCCCCAACCTTTCCCACCTCGAATCTCGTCAGCTTCAATACCTCGTCAACACCAACACCTCTCCCTGTGCACACAAACACCACGTCTCTCCACAGTTCGATTACAGAACAAGAATTCGATATCAATGGACACGCAAATGATGTCGCACCTTCCCCTCTCCCAACTACCAGCGGACATACGTAGAACACAACGCAACGCGAGAGATTACAATAACCCCCTCCTCCACACCCCCCTTCCAAATCAGTAATACCAACGAACTCAGAGTGGGGTCAAGCCGATTTCGGATCCCTCCCCCGTACGTGTTACAGGCGTGTTAACAACGAGTTCGGCTCCGGACGTCCAATCCACTCTATGATCCAGCAAAATTAATTAAAACGAAATTTCCTAGAGCTAATTAATACTTGCGATGGTCGCTTGGTCTTTTCTCTCATAGTGGGATTATAGGACAATACGGTAGAACCTGCAGGATTATTAATTTGCTAGTTACGTTTTTATGGAGACTAGATATCTTACCGGCTGTAGGTAATGCTTCTAACCTCTTTTCATAATTGTATATTACATCAGCTAACAGAGAGTTTAATAGACCGAACGACAAGTTATTCCGTTGGATTACAGACCCTTTGCAGCTCAAGACGAGTGACTGGTACAAACCACAGTGCATTGTATACCCATGTGTTTCAAAGGGCACTGCTGCAAACACATGATGCACGATCATAAACAGCTACCCTCCTAAGTAAAGCGATACCTCTGTGTAGACACGTGCCTCCCTTGCTGGCGCTCCAACTTTGACTATCTCTCTCTCTCTCTCTCTCTCTCTGTGTGTGCACATGCGTTTGAACATGCCTATACAGACTTGCGGGCTGAGAAACGTGCGTAGCACTCTGTGGCACCTGCATAAGAGATATTCAAAGAGCTACTGCTGAGTATGTAAGCATTTGTGTGTCTACTGCTTGTGATGACGGGGATAGGTTTAACCTGATATTGCACACTGTAGGTATGGCTGACTTTGATTTGGTCATTATTTTTCAAGATCTTTTGTGTCTTTCAAAGTACATAAGTATCGATATGATGGTGTTAAGTTGTGACGTGTGATGTACTTAATCGCTACAAGTATTGAATACTGTACATAAATGTTTGATCACGTAAACTCAAAACTTATTTTTCCTGCACTGGATTATAGTATTGACAGAATGCACGCAATGGATCTGGGGAAGAAAAGAGCGATATCTCAAATTCGTTGGGAAGAAATGAAGTGCTACCTCAAAAAAACTGTTTAAGCTATTTAAAAATTCTCCTCCATCGACATGTATACTCAAAAGTATAAGATTTCAAGGGATTTTTTGTTTTTCTCGTAAACCTCCTTAAATTTACGTTTGTACTTCTTGGATAAAGCTGCAAAAACACAACTTGAGCGCGTCCTTGGTTTTTTTTCCCGAACTTTTTCCTACATATGCTTGGCGCAACGCCAATAAATTCGCGGTTGACACGACGTCTCGTCCGATCGCTCGTCCCCACAGTCGGAAATTTATCGTCCTCGAGCTGGCCTCATTGATAGCCCCCCTTCTTTCGTCGGTCCTCCCCTTCTTTTTTTTTCGAAAGATCAATTTAATCCTTTTTCCAGGGATTCGATCCTAGAGATCACATCAGTCACGAGGTAGCGGTATATGTACGTACCTGCGTTCTCGCGCACCGACAGTTTGATCGATTGGCCGGGACGTTTTACGATGATTAGGGGAGCGAGTCTGGCTCTTTGATCTTGGGGCTCTGGCTATTTGGGAAATCGCTCTCATAAAAATTTCTAAAAAACGTAGAGTTTCGTCATCCTTGTTTTGGTTAAGCTCAAGTTGAGCATGTTGCTGGTAACTTACCTGAAACAAAAAGAATAAATTGACTGATTAATTATTAATATAAAATGCTTGTACTTATAATTTACTGGGATATGTTACATGAAACATAGAGAGGATCGTCAGAGGAGAAAAAAAGTTTCCTCTTCCGTGTCATTTGATTGAAACCGTCGATTTAAAGTCAAAAATGAGCAAAAGAGCCAAGCTGTCATTGGTATGCGGTCGACAGAATCGTTTGTCTTCCGTTTGTCCGTGTCTCTTTTTT